CACCTACAGCCCCAGGGGAACCCAAACGGATACCCTGGAGCTGAGCTCACCCAGGCCACGAGAGGTTGGAAGTGGGGGCCTGGATTTGGCAGCCTGGATGCTTCTCCACTTGAGAGGCTTTGAAAGGGAATGTATTTTTGGAGCATTCAAGATCAACTGTTTCTGACTCCGGCCAATCCCTTTCAAGAGCAGCACCAAAGGAGGTCAGTGGGATGCGGCTGGTCAAATATTTTGTACATGACCATCATCTCTCACCCCCTCAAGTATTTACAGACCTGAGAGCATTTCCTGCTGTTCCCCCCCGTTGAGTATCTGGTGTCTCTGCTTGCTCCAGCAGGACAGCGCGGTGCGTCCCAGAGCGCGGTGAAGCCATGAAGGACCACCCCGGCGCTGCCCTTGGGTGCAGCAAACAAAACTAAATCAGCACAATGTGTTTAGTCACACAAATGGCAGAAGGTTTACCCAGCCAGCAGTGGAACACAGCCATGATAATGAGAACAAATCTGCGGGGGTGGGGGTGGTGGTGGTGGGGAGATGGGGTGGAAAGAGGGAGGTTTATTCTCCAGGGGGGTTTTTTTGTAATCTTCGCTCACCATATTTAGTAGGCTTGTGACTTGCCCTTGCTAGCTCATGGAGAATTCCCCCAAGTGTTTACTCCCACAACCTAGCAAATGCCTCAATACACATCATGGAAAAAATACAATCGACATCTTCACTCCCACTAGAGAAGGAATTCCGACTTGCCCGGCACAGACCGGGAGTATGAGCCTGTGAGAGAGACAAATACTGCTTCATTAGCTCCCCTCAGATGTGGTTTACTCCTCAAATGACCTGGTCAGGGCTGCACCACCTCCCTCCCTTCCTTCACCTAAGGAACCCCTGACCTTTGGTCGGAGCAGTGGGGACAGGAATGTGGGTCCTTTAACCCTTTCCTCCGACATCCGCCAGCTGCTCTCCATGCGGTTCACAAAGCTGACGGTCACGGGATTTCCAGGGATCCAGAGATGCTGTGAAGGACGAGATCAGAGCTCTGCAAAACAGCTTTCTTCCTGCTGTACCTAGGGAAGGGCAGGATTTGCTGATGGAGAGCCATGTCTATCACAAACAGAACATGGAAACAAAACGGGAATTTCTATGAGCAGAGCTCACAGATCACAGATCGCTCAGGATTACTTTGGCACTCCTACTTCAGAGCACAAAACTTTAGTAGAAAAAAACAATAATTAGGCAATTTGGATTTTGTCAATGTGTTCCTAAACTGCCCACATGACAAGTGTACACGGGGAATCATTTTAATTTATCAAATGTAGAATCTCCTACAACTGCAATGACTATAGGTAGAGCAGAGCTGGAGAGAGGAGGTGGAATGAGAATGCTTCAGTGTTACTGATGATTTGGCATTTCCAGACAGGAATTTCTTTGCCCATATTGGCCAGGGAAGTGGTGGGATCACTATCCCTGGAAATGTTCAAAAAACACGTGTGGATGTGGCGCTCAGGGACATGGTTTAGTGGTGGGTTTGGTAGAGCTGGGGTTAATGGTTTGACTTGATGATCTTGGAGGTCTTTTCCAATCTAAACAATCCTGTGATTTTGCAAATGGGACACAATATGGACACAGCACACAGCCAGCTCTCCTCTGCTGCTGTTCCCTGGTCTGTTCCCACCTTACCCTGGCACAGGGGACAGCGGGAGGATGGTGCTGACTCATTCACACCAGGGAGGTCTCGGAGACTGTGCAGGGAGCGATCACAGAGGCACAAGGACACCAAAAAGGCAGTGGAATTCATTCAACCACACGTGTGCAAGTCCACATGTGCCAATTTGCACAGGCAGTGACGATGATTAGGCACAGAGCACTGGCAGTGCAGTGGTGTCAGTGCAGCTGTGACGGTGATCTGAGAGCTCTCGTGATCTCTGCAGAGCAAAACGAATCTCGGAGTGATCCCAAGCACTCTTGTGCTACAGGAATATGACTTTTACCTGTTTTCCCAGTGGCTAAAACCCATCAGTGGTGTGATATCACCAGTCTCTGCCTGCCTGAAACCTGTGGTATGGTGGCGTGCGAGGGACATGGACTCGGGCTGGAAGCACGCGGTCTGTAACCCCTGACATTTCTCCAAGGAGGGGCATCATTACACCCTTAATCTCTCCTTTGTACATCTTGTTTATGGTGCTTTGCACACCAAAAATCATATTAAATATTCTGATTTTTCCTCCAGCTCCTCTTTTTTCCTATTCTCCTCTTTTTTCCACGCACGTCCTTTCCTTCTTCACGAGGAGAAAGCACCTCTCTTCCCTGGGCAGGCTGAGCTATTGCAGTATTTGCCTAAAATACAATACAAACTTCTAATTAGAGGAGGGAGGGGATTGGCAAAAGAATATTAAAGCTTTTCAAGTCTCCTGAAATCCTTTGTGTGGAACAGCTCTGGGAAACAGGGCCTGCTGCCACCCTCCCCCTCTTGGGAGCATTCCCCAGGGCAGTGCCCGGGCAGCAGCTGCTGCTGCTCCGGGGGAGTCAGCCCAGCCTGACACACAAATAAATACCACAGGAAGAAATGCTTTCTTCCAGCAAAGACCTGGGGAAGAAACCCTGGGTATGAGGAGAGGAAGGGAATGTACATGTTTGCACCTGAAGAGCTTTGGGATAACTTGGTCTCAGATATAGAGGAGCGAGGAAAAGCAGGAATGCTTATAGATGCAACCAGGTATGACACAGATGTCATGCAAAACAGATAGATTTGCATAAAGATACACCTCCATTTTCAATCAGCCCCTCTAACCTTCACATTTCAGCCTAAAAAAAAAAAAAAAAAGGGCAGACTTAAAGCACAGAAGGACTTAATACCTGAAGGTGTGGAGGGGAAACCAGCTGGAGCATTTAGGGAAAAGGGATTTTGGTTGGTTCTGGTGCTCCTCACCCACAGGTGAGAGAGGCTGGAAAATTTGTGTACAAGGTGAACACACAGGATTGTGTGTGCAGAGAGAGCATGTGGCAGCAGGAACACTCGCCCAGCGCTGATCCTGCGTTGCTCAAGTCTAAGAAATTGTGTCCTTCGTTGCATTAACAACTTCTGCAAAGTCTTCATTTGCATTTTAATGGAACTCTTTCTAGGAAGGTGCTGCCTGGACTCTGTTGCAATGTAAAATGAAGAGGTAATTAAAAACATGCTGGAGTTAAAAGGCATTTTGTTTTCATTAATCAGGTTTATTCATGATCTTTTCAAAATTAAAGGTATTTAGGGTACGTGGGAGGAAACGGGGGGAGGGGGGTGGAAAACACACGATGGAACATCCGTTTATTTAAATTACAGATTAAAAAGTGGAAAATACACTTTTTGTGAGGGGACGTCCTGGGGATTAAAAGCAGGAATGGATTTGAAGAAAGAGGAGGTATAGGAGTCAAGACAAAGGTTCCAACAGCAGGTCTGCCTGCTTGAAAGCCAGAGATGAAGAAAATATATAGGACGAGGGAAAGGAAACCACGGAGGAAATTCTTAAACCATCGTCACGCAATTACCCGGGGCAAATGACTGGGATTACACACCTAAACCAGCTATCTATGCAAGCGGTCAGCCCCGGCCGGCCAGACACGTATTTCCCCAATTTTTGGGCGCAATCACAGCACGCAGATGTCGATAAGCAGTTCGCAAACGTTTTATCTGCCTGGACCAGCTCCTGCTTTCACAACCCGGCGACCGCACAAGGAGCGATCCCCCCGCAGCCATCGCGCCCACCTCCTCCGCGCCCCAGACCTATCCTGCCCTGTTAAGCTCCGTCCTTTGAAATATAGGGCAGGTTTCTGTCAGATCCTTCAGCGCGACAGTCAAAAGGGCAAAAAAAAAAACCCAAACACAACAACAAAACCCTGCCCTTTGTCGCACCGGGAGGTTTCTCCAGCGCGGCTCCTCATCCCCGTCCGCTGGGATCTCTGTCCTCACCGGCCATTACGGGTCGGGGGGAACTGGGGGGGGGCTTCGAACGCCGCAGGGGCAGCACTTGATTTTCTATTATTTTTACACGATTTTATTCCGGGGCGGCGTTGTGTGAAATACATCGCAGCGCAAAAAAGAGGGGAAAAGTGTTTCGGTTTGGTTTTGTCTCCACACCCCCGCCCCGCAAGGTGCCGAGGCGGTCCCGCTCCCACACTCGCCGTTGGGGCTGAGGGGACGCGCCCCGCTGGGGAAGGCGGGGGGGACACACAGCCGGCTCTCTCGGGGTTGGGCGCACCTGCCGGCGGCAGGGACACCCCGTGGAGCCGCAGAGGGGCCGTGGCAGGGGCAGGGCCGGCATGGGGGGCGCGATGAGGGTCGGGACGGGCACGGGGAGCGGGAACGCTCTGAGGGTCCCGCCGCCCCCGCCTCAGCGCGGCCCCCGCGCCGTCCCGGCGTGCCCCGCGCGCCGCGCGCCCCCGCCCTCCCTCACTTCCGGTGTCCGGCAGTGGCAGCGCCGCCGGCGGCGCCCCCGCTCCCCCCGGCGCAAGGGGAGGAGGGGGGCGTGGCCGCTGGGCGGGGCTTAGAGCCCCACCGCCGACCAATCACCGCCCGCCGCTGGGAGGGAGTGGGCGGGGACAACGCCGGCACGCGCCGCGCGGCTCCGCCCACCCCCTCCCCGCTGCCGCCTCACCCCCCTCCCGCCGCGGGCTCGCGCCCCGCGCTCCGAGGAGCGTCGGGAGCGCGCCCGGGCGCCCCCACGCTTCCCCCTCCGCCGGGTTCTCCCCCCACACCACCCCCTCCTCCGCCCTCCGCCCCCTCCCCCTTCCCCTTCCCTCCCACCCGGGAGGAGGGCACAGAGTGACCGACGGAGCCACCGCTCCGGCCGCTCCGCCACCCTGCTCTCCTCCATGGGGCTCAGGTAAGCGCGCCGCCCCCGCCCCCGGGGCGAGCGAGGGTCGCCATGGCCGCCCCACCCTCCTACACGGAGGGGCGGCGGGGAGCCCCCCGCCGCTCCCGCACCGCCGCCCCCGGTGTTATCCCCGCTATTATCCCCACTGGTTATCCCCGTTTTTTTATCCTTATCCCCGTTTCCATCCCCGTTATTCCCACCCGCCCCCTCCTCCTCCTTCTCCTCCTCCTCCCCGGTCGCGCCCTGCCCCGGCAGGGAGGCACGGAGCCTTCTTTGGGACGCGGTGTCCTATTTGGTGTGGGTGGATGGCTTAACTTGGTAAGTGCCGGGTTTAACCCCCTCCCCGGCCCTCCCCTCCCTCGCTCCTCCGCCCGCCCCCCTCCCTTCCCCCCACCCCCTCCCCGTAACCTCCAAAAGGGGAATTTTCCAGCTGGTAATTTCTGCTGCGTCAACACCCAGCTCAAGGGAGAGGAGAAGAGACAAGGGGGCATTTTAACAGCAGCTCCACTTGCGGATAGCCAGCCTCAATCCCGGCTCCAGCATTAAAACCCTTTCCGCCCCCTAAAAACCAGCATCCGTGCAAGTTGGACCAAGAGTTTGTCAGGAGTGTGGTTCAAAACTGCTTGGAAAAAGGGATGAGGTAATAATACTGGTGAAGCATGTTGTATTTCTCTCTTTCTGCCTGTCTCTCTTTCTCCCTCTCCTCTCCTCTTTTTTTTTTTTTTTTTTTTTTTTTTTAAGCCAGGCCTGTTTTGGGTTATTGTCTCCCCCTAAAGCCAGACATAGATCGCCTGGCCTTGCCTCCATTTTAATTGCAGGCTGAAATGGGGGAAGTGACCCTCTTTAAAAAAAAAAAAGAAATACAAAAAACCCCACCAAACAGACGAAAAAAAGCCTTGGAAAAAAATAATGCTGGTCCTTTGGGGGGATATAGGTTATTTTTCATAAGGCTGTAACAAGTGCAAAAGTGGCTGGAAATGTTTTCTGTCATGCTGGGAAACTAGTGAGGTGTCCTCTCCCCTCCCCAGGAAAAAGTGCTGGTAAAATTTGGCGGAGGGGAGAAGGAGAGGTGCTGGGAAAAGCAGGGGTTGTGCTGCTGGATTGCCTTTGTGTCTCTGTAAATAGACATGTCAGTTCCCAAAGTAATACAAGTAGTGTCTGATAACTCAATCCCAGATGACAAATAGAGAATGGAGCAGATTTTCAGGACTGTAATAGTGGGAGGATTTCTCTTTTGAAACGGAGAGGGGGGGAAAAAAAAAACACGTTGGTACCTCCTGAGGAGGTTCTTTCCCGGCGCGTTATTGTGAAGCGGAGCGTTCGGATGGAATCCGGAGACATAAACCCATATTTATTTATTTTTACACCTGACCGGGGAAAGATAAACAAAGGAGAGTTTAACAGCTCTTTAATGAATTCCTCATGCTTTTTATTTTGCAATCCCAATGATTCATTTGGCAAGCCTTGCAGGACCGGATTATTATCAGCATTGTTTAAAGCCATGCTAATTAGGAGATGTGTTTAGCAAACAGTGGTATTGTAGACACCTGTACCAAAGTTCTTGCGTGCATTTTAATTGCATCACTGCTATCATTTTTAGCATTTAGTCACTGTAATACAGATCTGGGTCTCAGTTCGTGGACTCAACCGAGTATTTATTACAAGTGTGGGTTCTCTAGGTGCAAGAGCAGCCCTGCTCCTAACGCACTAAATGTGTTTTCTCAGAAAGGACAGGGAGTATTTTTTCTTTTTTTATTTTTATTTCCCTGTGGGGATTCAAAGAAAAAGCGGTGCTGTCCAAGAAGAGTGGGAAAAACACAATTTTTAGGAGGAAGCTTGCTGTGACTGGATAGCTCTTTCACTTTAATCAATACCTCACTTGAACACTGTATGTTTTTGTAGCCTCTTCTAATTGAAAATAAAATTCTACTTTCCCCTTCTAAACTCCATCTAGCTTCTCTCTCGCTGTTTGTCAAGTTTTATGTTTTGAAATCCTCGGTGATGGGGAAAAAAAAAAAAAATGGGTGGAGTGTATTATTAGTCACAATATTTTCAACATGCGGTGAGGAATTGCTGCTTTGAGGTGTTTTTTGGGAGCCGACGGGGAGCAGGGCAGAGGAGCTGCCCTGTGGGAGAAAACTAGGGGACAGGATTTTTGGGAGGGCTCCTGAACGCACGTTGCCGAAGAATATTGTGTGGTTTGCTACGTTCGTGGGATAAAGTGCAACTGAAATAGAAAACGAGTCTTTTGGTTTTGATGCAGCGTGTCCAGGAGGGGGAAACTCACTCACAGTGAAACTTCTCTCGCGGTTGTTTTCATAGGCTGCTGGTGGAACCGAGTCAGTTTTATAGTGTAGGACCAGAAACGGGGTATTCGAGTAACTCTTAGGGTTAAGGTGTTTATCCCTGTGCTTTAAATGCTGCTTCGTTCTGGAGTGTGTAGGACTGAGCCTTTGAAAACATGACCTGTACTCGGGGTTCTTGGAGGCTGGAGAAAATGGGCCACTTTCTCCCCGTGGTCTTTGTTTTCTGGGACAGTTGTACAACAGTGGAAATGTTCTTCGCAAGAGGATTTTTTTCTTTTTTTTTTTTTAATTTTAATATCTGAAAGTGCTTAGAGGAAAATCGTTTTAGCACACACCCACCCCCTTCACCAGCAGCCCCCTCTGTCAAAAGGAAAAATGCCTCATGGTTGGGAGGTGTGTTGTTTGCCAGCGTTTCCTCCGGTGATGTGTTGTGTTGCTGTGAGGTTGGGCAAATTCTTTTCGTCTTTGCTATCCGCTTGTGTGGATTTTTTTTTTTATTATTATTTATTTATTATTTTGTTTTAGATCCGTGTTTTTTGAAGTTTCTAAGCAAAGTTTCCTGTCCTCCCAGCAGCTCAGCGCAGGCTGACACCCAATCCAAACTGCCACTGCCTGCTTTCAGGGCAGGAATTATTTCATAAACAGCTCAACCTTTCCCAGGACATTTTTCCCTTCGTGTTCTCGCCGGTTTTACTGGCTGCTCCAGAGAACTCTGTGACGCTCTCCAGACTCCCCCTGAATTGGTAAAAACCATTCACAGGGGTTTTCCATGCTCCTGTGTGCTCAGTTTAATGGGCAAACAGAAGGGCAGAGAGAGGGCTTAGTTTAAGTCTTTGAAGAGCTACCTGCAGCTGTAATGGTTATCCCACATGTCCCTTATAATTCCCAGGAGCCAGCGGTTTCTGTCCATTCCTGGCTGTGAGTGTTGCCCTGGAAAATTCTAACACTTTGCACAGAGGGATTAATTCCGTGTTTATATTTTGTACCAGGCTGGAATATTCTGAAGCGTGGAGCTCACCTGTGTTTTCTGTGGGGGGATATTTGAAACTTAAAATGTGTTAATAGTTAAAGGGAGCGTGCCGTGGGCTGTCTGCAGATACCAGGGGTCACGTTAGGAGAGAGCACGAGGACTGACTGCAGCTGAGAGGCAGAGGGAGGAATTCAGTCTGGGGGAGGTCCTGCGATCCCACCTCACACCTAAAACATCTCTGTTAAAGGTTTTCTGATATTTGGTCAAGCCCAGTGGCAGTCAGGGCTCCAGGGTTAAAATCCGTTGCTTCAAAACTTCGCTTATTCCCTCCTGGGGACGTTTTGTGTGTTTGTGTTGCAGCCCCCTTAAATCCGTCCTTGGGTGGTTGGTTTTCTCAGTTCCCTCTGGATCTTCAGTCCTTCGGGCAGGATGAGAAATAAAAGCCTGGATCGCTTCGTGCGGGACTTTCACTTGAGATGTAAGAGGGGAGAATCTCAACTTCCCTAAACAGTTCAATGGTTTTCTGGTTTGTGCTGCCTCGGTGTATTTGGATGCACAAGGATGCCCAATTTGGAGGCATGGCTGCTCCTTGGGACTCCTTCCCCATCCTGTAGCTGTTGATTGAACTGCTTGTTATCAGTCTCCCCTTCTGTGAAACGGGGGTGCCAGGGTTTACTCAGCTCTCCCAAAACACGTTCTGTTTTACTGATAAAAAATCAGAACTGTGCTACAAGTGCTTTTCCTTCATAAAGGCAAACCAGTGTGAAGTCCTTGCTGGATTCCCTCCGGGATGTGGTGGAGTCCAGAGGCTCATGGGTGGGGTTTGACATCCCTTACCAAGTCAGCTGTGGTGCAGTTATTTTCTGAACTCTTGCTTTAACTTTCTTTCACGCCCATACATTTAAGAAACATCAGGCTGCTGTTGAGATGCTGGCTTGAAATAGCTCTGCAGGCGGGGTGAGATCCTTGACAGCCACTCTAATGAGATGGAAATGTGTCCCACTTGGCAGTGCTCAGGTTAGAGCTGAAACTCACCTTTTTTGCCTTGCCTTTTGGGATGTGGCTGACTTCTGTTCTAGCCCATACAGTGGTGATCCTGGCCTGTTGCTCACTTGGCTCGTGCTCGTGCTCGGGAAGAAAAACATCCTGCAAATGCTGGAAGTTGCCCTGCATTTGCTTTGTTGTAAACCTGACTTGGGGTCTCCTGCAATGGAGGGAGACACCGAGGCATCAGAAATGCTCTACAGACACATCTATGAGCTTGTGTGTGGATTAAAATAAACCTGGTAACAAGAATGTTGATGTGTGTCAGGACCTTACCTTGACCAAGAGCCCTACTTAGAAGAGTGGGTAGGGTTTTGCATATTAAGGAATGTGTTTGTACCTCTGTCTACTGAAATACCCAGTCATCTTTCCTGATTATTTCCCCATCATATGTTGAACAAACTGCTTATTCCATCCAAGTGAGTTTGCTTACCTGGTATTTCTCACTTCTGGAGAAGAGCTCTGCGTAAAGTCGATATTTCAAGTGGTTTGGCTTGTTCTCTCTGAGGGAAGAGTTAAACAAAATTTACACCTTTTGTGCTAATAGAGCATCAGAGGAAATACCTGCCTGACTAGTGCTCAGATCATGCCCTGAAACAGAAGAATCAATGGTCTGTACTAGCCATTAGTAACTTAAAATACCCAAAACCAACAAATTTAAGTGCCAATGAACGAAGCAGTCAGGGTGCAGTTGCTCCTAACAATCCTGCCACTATAGTGTTGGAGAATGAGGTGGTGGCTAAATATAAACCCAGCTTTTTGACTTCCTCCTTGTTACCACTGTGTCCTTCTTGGCTTCACTCCACTTCTTTTTTTTTTTCTTTTTTTTTTTTTTTTTAATAGTAGTTGATCAAATCTGGATTATGAGATTTATGCTAAAAAGTAAAACAGGATCCTTACCCAAGGCCCTGAGGGCTTGTACCACAAATTACACAAACAGAATTGGGTTGTTCTCAAAGCACCTCATATGTTATCTTTGGTTTTGCACTGGTTGTTTGTTTTTTTTTTTACTCTTAGATTATTCCTGACTCCTTTTGTGTCTTTTAGGTGATCTTTCAGTTCCTCCCACTGCTTTACTTCTCTTTAAAAATCACCTCATGATTCTTCCTCCTTTGGCTCCCTCTGTTTTTACGTACTGAGTTTGGGAACTTTGGCAAAGATCCCCTAATTAAAAAGCCAAAAACCAATGAGAAAGTTTAGGGGAAACCATTCTTCAGGGCAATTCCCAGTGTGATAAGTTCAGAGTTCTCTAATTCCTCTTTTTTTTTTTTTTTAAGGTCCTTTTTGTCTTGTTTTTTTTTTTGACTAATAGATGCACAAGGGCAGAGTCTTTTGCTTAGATTTCGTTTGTGACTTTAAAGTTGAAGCTTAGGATCTTTAGGAGTTAATGGCACTTGGGCAGGTAGGTGTCATGTGGGCCACAGGCACTGGGATTTTTTTCAGGTTGTTTTTAATCTTCACTGCTAGAGTAGCAGATCTATCTGTAGCTAGATTCTTATATTTTATTTTTTTTTATTTTAGCAGACTTCTCAGAGCTGGTTCCCTGTAAAGCACTTGCTTTTTAAGCCCTGGATAGCTCTGCCATGTTCCTTTTTTGTGTTCTGCAAAGTGTGTGGTGTGGGTAGGGTTGGATCTGTCCTTGGTGCAACGAGATGAGAGAGAATGGACTTCAAAAATAGGGGAATGATACGAGCAAGTGTTGCTGTGCTGGGATGGAGAGGGGAGGGACAGGCAGGCACGTGGACAGCGTTGGAAGTTATGGGGAAATGGATAAGGGGAATGCAAAGTGCAGTGAAAATATCCCTGCAAGCAAGCAGTTGGAACTAGAGGCACCCACCTGTGCCCTGTGGGAAAGGTGCATCCTGCCATATTAGCAAGTTGTTACCCGTTGGAATATTGTATTTCAGGCTGCTTTTACAGGCATGGAAAATGAAACTTCTTTCTGCGTTCTGTTGGGTATTTTCATCTTTGCGGGGTTTCTTCTTTCAAAGCTTGTACGTGTTTGTAGGAGGAGCAAAGTGCTTTCCTTGGTACCTTGGTGGATGCTCTGTAACATGAAAGGTCATGCTGGCTTTTGAATACTGTGATTGGGTGGGAATAAAACTCAAATCTCTTACTTTTGTATGACATGGGCACATAATATTTTTCTGTAACCTTAGGCAAATATTTTGGTTTGGAGGGGAATCACTGTAACCATGAGGTGAGATTAATACTAACCCCATTTCAAGTGTGTGGGTGGCAGGGGTCACAGAAACATTAACTGAAACTTTGATGTCAACTGAGACAGTGTTAAAATGGTTTGAAATCATTACATAAAGTGCCAGTTTTGTAGAGTGACTTTTTCAGAGCGCTTCTGCCCGGAAGCATCGTCAGAAGTTGTTACTAATCTTCAAATTGGTCTGTTAAACTCTTTCTTTAAGTTAACACAAGGGCTAAATCATTTTCCCTGTATGCTTAATTATGGAAATACATCAGAATATTTCTTGTTGAAATGGCAAACAGTGCTGTAAATGGGCAGTTATTTTAACTGCTGCTTGTAATTATGTGACACCGAAGGGCTTTGTATTGAGTTAAAGTTTGGATTCTAATTTTTGCCTCCTGTTCTTTCCATTCCCAAACACAGGACATCTGATGAACCTTTTGGAGCTTGTTACCAGAGACCATTCTCCTCTCTTCACTGAAACATGCACTGCCCAGCTGGGAAACATCGCCACATTTATTTTTGCTAACAGGAAACACTTTTAAATATCGGTAAGTTCTCAGCATTTAAAGATATTTTTGTCACGTGTTGTGGGAAAGAGAAAGAGGAGCTGGAGATAATATTGTCATGGGGGCTGACAGTTCTTTATAAAACTTGGCTTTACATTGCTAACAAGGGCTCATTTAGAATTCTTAGCCAACTGCAAAAGTTGGAAGAAATACCTCTGGCTGTTCTTCTGCTCCCTCCCTGTGGCAGAGGTGCCTCCACTAATCGTGGCCACTCAGTTCTCATCTGTTTGATCAGAAGAGGAAAACAGGTGCACAGCTCAAAGCCAGAGGAAAAACTGCAGAGCAGTGCAAAACAGTGTGGGCTCAGCCTTGCCATTCTTACCAGTCTGTTCTGGCTCCCGTTGTGCCCTGGGACAGAGGTGTAAATGAGAGTTTTAACAGTAACAGCCCCAAGTCTGAGTGAAAATACGTATTCCCGTTACCCTCTGCTAACAGATTAATTTCCCAAGTGTCTGGGTTGGTCTGGCTCCCTCACTGCCCCACTTTATTTTTCCTTAACTGTCTAAATAACAGGACTAAAAAGAGCTGGCCAAAACAATTGCTATGGAGAAGCAATCAGAATTTAGAGAAAGGCAAGACTTGGCCGTCTGAAATAGAAATGGAGAACAAAGTCACTGGTGTTTGCTTCAATTGGGTCATATTTGTTTTCAGGATTTTCGGTTCTGTTTGCCATAAGAACGCTTGGATTTTCCTCATTGCTTCATTTGTTTATCAGATATTTTATTTTGCCTTCTATAATGGCATTGGTTTGTGTTGGAAAAGCTCTCCTAATTTTTATCTTCTGATGTTTTCTTTCACAATCTGTTACTACAGAAGGTCAGTTTTGAAATCAGCAGTATTGATTTATAGCTTATTTTCATTAAGAGAGCTAATCTGGTGTATTGAAGACATTTGAAATGCAGAGATCAAAAAAGTCTTTCTCGTGGCTATCAGCATAAAGCTCTAAATAAAACATACTCAGAAGTTTAAGTTGGAAGGTAAATGTTGCCTGTATGTGCTATTCTGAGGAAAATAAAGTTTGTTTTGTACAAGAAAAATAGGTGTACAAGATGATGGTTTCTAGTGGATGAGTCCTCACAGACAAAAGCCTTGGTGTAGATGAACTATTCCTACCCCTTGTAGCTTGTAACCATAAACAGCATTTACCTGAGAAGTCTCTCTGTGAATGTGCCTTTTACACATACTGAAGTACCTGTATTTTACACAGAACTTTAAATACCGTGGGATGGTTTGGTCTCTTATCCCAGAATGGTGTCAACCAGTAGAAACTACTGGTTCAAGGAGCTAAACATTTCAAGAGGAAATTCTCCTGAGTATTCCATTGCAAACTTCTTTCAGGAGCTGTAGTGGTAGCTTTTTAACCTCAGTATTTCATAGGTCAGATAAGGTGAGTCTCTTTAAAAGAGTCATTTAAGTGAGAATGTTTTGAAAAGCTCCCAAACAGGAAACCCTGTTGTTCAAGGATCCGTTTGAAGTTTTAGTAGCTAAAATTAGAATTTTTGTTCCCATACATTTAAGAAATAACTCTTACTTATATTGTTACTAAATGGTAGCCAGGCTTTAATTACCTGCAGTGTATTGATATGCTTGGAGTTAACTTTTCTGGGGTTCACGAAGTCGTAAATAGGGATGTTCTAACTGTGAGTTTGGAGGGAAAGGGCTTCAAAATGTCTCACTGATCAGTAATCTTGTAGCTTAATGCTAATAATTTCCTCTGCTTTTGCTTTTTTTTGTCATAGTTCTGTCTTTCTCCTACAAGAGTTCACGCCAGTGCTGTCGGAAGGTCACGGAACAGGGCACTACCTGTGCTGCCCTGGGGCTGTTGATGTCCTCAGCTGTTGTAGGAGAAACACTAGACCTGGAACCCAGCCTGTTACTGGTAAGAAGTAATTGCCTTGGATTTCATTTATTCATTTAATATCACGGTTCCTGTGTTTTCTCTAACTAAATCAGTAAATACCTCTTCACTGATTTTTACTTTAAAGAACGCTATAGCAAAATATGCATCTCTTGTCTTTTCCCCACCCCCAATATTTTTAACTTCACAGTTTCTAAGTTTCTAATTTCCCTCCATCCAAAATACAGAGGTTAACAGTTTTCATTTGGATCTCCTTTTCAGTCCTGGTTTTCTCTTGAAATTCTTCATGCATTGTCAGAGCTAATGAAGGTTAATAAATGGATTTTATTTCAATACCTGCAGAAATCCTGTGTTTTGGTTGCATTTTTGTGGTGCCAGCTCCTGCACAGGCTGGCCCTGTAACTTCAGGTGGATGGTTTGACAGGTCAAAGGCCACAGCCAAGTCTCTGGTTTGAAGTTTTGGAGTAGAGGGTGACATGTTTAATGGTGGTTCCCTGTTATTTTAAGCTGTGCTATTGGAGTTAGATTTTGCTTGTGGTTTGTGTTTGGACTGTGCTTTAATGAAATGCCAGAAGTGTGTGGTGTTCTGTGCTGCTGTTTGAACTTTGCTTTTGGGCTTTCTGGATTGTATCTGCGCAGAGATTCTAAACAGAGATGTTGTTTTAATGCTCTGGATGATGGGGTAGTGTTGGCTTGAAGTTGGAAAAATTTTAGTGAATCCTCATCAGGCTGATGTTTGTTAAATAATGCATGTACAATGACAATTGAGTGGGCCGGTTCAAATTTCAGAATAAAGATTGAATTAGTATTTTCCTTTAAGTTTACTGAAAATCATTTGCTTCCCAAATTCTTGCCTTTTCTGTACTTCTGTAGTATTTCTCAAGCTGAATGGTGAAACATTTTTTTTTTTTTCCTTCCTGTGACTCCTAACCCAAAAGGCTGAACGGGCACTGTTGGGGCTCTAATTAAACATTCTCATCCCCTGCCATCAGGGAAAAGTGGTAGCTGTTGTTTGCACGAAACCCTGAGCTGTGAGTAACCTCTCTGGCCCAAGGGTCTGCTTTGGTCTGTTTACAAACATCTGCCTGTTTCTCTTTGAGTTCAGAGTTGTGGTTGGAATGACCAACTCAAGCAAGGGGTGATCAGTTTCGGGAATGGGGAACAGGGCACACGAGTTGCTTTTTTGGCAGCTCTTCGTTTTCATAAGATGTTACTTACATCTCTTTTGAACAAAGCTGAACATAGGAGTATAATTTGGGGTTATCTAATGTCAAGAAATGAAAACTCCTCTGGAACTGTGTGCTTCCTTGAACTCACTGGTGAGAAAACTCTGCACGTGTGGAAATCTGTGCCTGTAAAACTCACGACCATCCATTAACACCCTGAGCCTTCTTTTCCTCTCATTTACCAGAATAAGTGGTAGGTACTGTCCTTTGCAGTTGCTAAGGTTACGTTGAGGGGTTTTGTTCCCGTTCTTTTCAGCAGAGGGGCACATGGAGAGGAGGAATCCCCTGTGTTTCTGTTGTCTTTAATTGGATAAAAGTGAAACTTCCATGCACTCTGTGTCTCGTTGTGCAAGGAAGCATTTCAGGCCCAATCTCACCTTACAGAGCTCCTTTGCAGAGGAATTTAAGAAATGTTGGAATGTCTTGGGAGTGGATGCAGGGACAGGACACAGGGGAAGCAGAGAAGTGGGGTGTGTTTGTTGGTTTTTTTTTTTTTGCATAAAATAAACCACTGGAGTGAATTTGAGTTCTTCCTTAATCTGTTTTTACTTTTCTCTGAAGGGAGAGAGGGGGGGAGGAAACAACACATTTTTGGTTAAATTCCAGTTGGCATGTTTTCTCCAGGGAGCAGAGTGGTGGAGGAGTGCCCTAGTGAGTATTTTGGTACTCTGTAACTTGGGTCCTTGGTTTTAAGTGTGGAAACATGTTTAGAAAATTGTAACGGACAAAGTGTGGTGTAGTTTAAATCTTCAGCTCACTCATACTCTGAGAGAGGAAAAAGTAAACAAACAAACAAATCCCAACAGCAGCAATCCCCCCAAAAAAAACTCTCCAGGCTTTTTTTTTTTTTCCCCTCTTTTCTTTTCTTTCTGAGTGAAGGAAGTTTATTTTTGGCCCCACTGTTGCCCAGGGGACTGCTCTGTAGAGGACTTTGTGTGTGCTTCATTTCTTGTCTGTGACTTTTTGTCAAAATTCAAGTAATACACTGAGATTTAGATGCAACAAATTTCTACCCCTTAATTTTACTGGTGGTAATGTTTTGGTCAGGAGACTTATTCTGATTATGCTGAGAGGTATGGTCTTGTGAGTACTGCTGGTTACTTTTCTTAAAACATTTTCAAAGGGAAGTGAAGTTTGTGTCTATTTAGACTCAGGTGATACTTTCATGTTTAAGTAACTGTACTGACAGTGCAAAATAAGGCACTTCCATAAGATGCTCTATATGTAGAACTAGGTTCACTCTAGCTGGGGTTAAAGATTATATAAATTATTAACAGTTTATTTAGGGCCAGCTTTTTTGACGTGAAAAATAAAAGGTAGGCCTGTATCCTGACAAATTTCATGGAAGTGGCTCTTAAATCTGTTCAAACTGTGCTCTTTTTGCTGTTACGTGCCAGGGTTTGTTTAGGGACAATGTTTTTGTTGTTGTGTTTGGAAAAGCAGTAGACTTGAATTACTGTAGTGTCTATGCATTGGCTTATGAAGAAAGACTGATGTGCTACAGTTTATTTTGTGGAAAATCTTCAGATGAGCTCTCATGGTTTCTTGGCTTCCTGGAGAGCTGTGTTGTGGCCACGTGCTGGCATGGCAGGAGCAACCCTAAAGAACTCCAGTAGGTGCTCAACTTGGAAATCCTTCAGTGTAGTAAAAAGACCTGAGATAAACCAAAAAAAAAAATACATCATTGATCTTTGAGGTCTTTTGCTAAGAAAGCTCCACAGCTTATTCCATCCTTGCTGTGCTTCCACTGGAAATTTGAAGGGTACAGCTTTCCTGAAGAAATCTTTCCACAACATTTTTTAAGTGGAGATAAATATCATTACCAGGAAAAGGGAAAAAACCTAAACCAGCAACAAGCCACAAAACAGCATGTAAAATTGGAACACAAGAGCACAGGGTTTTAAAGCTTCCTGAATTTTTAACTACTAGCAAATTGCCTTAAATTTAACTTGGATTAATTCCCTAGTGATCCTTGACATTAAATGGATGTTCTGGTTTGACATGGGTAGACAGAAAACTAATTAATTCCTCTGAATTTGAGGCATATTTAATTTTCTCCCCCAAAGACCTCTCATTTAAAAGGTACAATGCCTGTGACAGATGCTGAACGTGGAGCGATGTGTGCGAGGTGCCAGACCTTCCATCAGAGGAAGATCAAGACATCTACAGGAATAATTCCTGACTTGAAAAATGTTAAACTCTATTGATTGCACTGAACGTGGGAGACTCCACATCATCATTTGCTTACTTGAAGGTGCTGGAATGTGCCCACCTCACTGGCCAATAGGGAATCTTGCATAGATTTGTTTGTGTCTGGTATAATTTCCCTGATATCTTTTCTCTGGCTTTATCTCCTGCTTCCTGAAGAGATGAGCAAGTGCTTCATCCATAAGTAGCACTGAATTAGTCAATCCCTGAACCTCAAGCTGGTCCAGTCTAAACCAAAGGTAGCAAGAGACAAATATTTTAAAATCTGTGTTTCTGCCATGGGCAGCTTTAAAAAAGGACAAGGTGTATCTGAAGTGGACTGTTATCAGTGAGGGGGAGCCCAACCCACTGCACTAAGCTCAATAAATGTATGAATTAGCAAAGAAATAAAATCTCAAGGAATTTATATAATTTCCAGGTGAAGAACATTGAAGAAGAAAAGCTCTTGTTGCATAAATTTCACCAGAGCAGGTGGAGACATTGACAAATACTCCTGATGCTATTCTGTATGAAATTGAGGAAGAGAAAAATTATCCTTGCAGGAGATTTCCCCACACACACACAGGTCCAGGGAGGTGCTCTTTTGGAATATGGATTTTGATATCCATGAAGGTACAGCAAAAGGAAATTCCATATCCAAAATACTCTGATGGCTTCCTGATTGTATCCTGTGAGGTTTTCTTGCGTCTCCCTCTGAGTCGTGTGGATATGGCAGCTGTTGGAGACAGGACTGATGATGGACAACTCACTTAATCCTATGTGGCAATTCATATTTCCTGAGGGGACAAAGCTGACTCTTCAACTCCTAAAAGTAGATGCAGTAGTGGTTTCTGGAATAAAGACAAAACTGAGCTGTCATTCTGCCTTACGAGGCGGTTCTCTCCAACACGGAGATGTTGGGAAGCTGTGGCAGCCACCTCCAGAGCCTGGGTTGGAGAACTGCTGTGCTGGCTGATGCCATCACAACCTTTTCAGGCCAAGCACCTGAAAAATCCTTTTTTTTTTTTTTTTTTTCCCTGACTCTGATTCTCTGTTTGATTTTCATTGATTTATTTCAGTTGTTTGAGATGGAGATGGTGTCTGTGTGAGGATTTGGTTTGAGGTCTCCAGGCAGATTTCTGTGGTAAATAGGTGTTGCTCAATGTGCAGCTGTAATGTTATTGACCTCTTCCAGTTCAAATAAATAATAATAATAAAAAAATTGGTTTCTCTGTGCATTCTGTGCTTAATTCTGCAGAAAAAGCTGCACTGCTTTGAATTTGGTGAACACCAGTTGAGGCTCTTTGTGATGCAGGAAGATGGTCCTTCCTCTCTCGAGGAAAGCAAATGCTTCTGAGTGATCAGGGACCAGCTGGCCATGCAAATCAGCATTTCCAAGGCTGCAGAGAGGCAGCTCCATCCTTGCAGAACTGGGGAAGCTTGGAGCAGTCTTGCATAACTTGAACTTTTGAGTCGTCAGGTGACTCTCTCGAAGGTCACGTCTCACTGTATGTTCTGTGGGCTGGGAGGTGTTTTTCTGGCCAGCAGTGTTGACTAAACTGCAGCTGGTTTGCTCCTGCTGATGATAATCATAGCCCAGGGTAGGGAAAGAGGGCAGGGGGCTTGTGGGTCTGTATTCCACAGTACAGGAACCACACTTGCACGTGTCAGGATACTTCCTTAATCACGGCTGCCCTAGAATTGTGAGCCAATTCGAGCAGATGGGACTGAATTTGTGTGTGAACTCGCTGGATGTTAGGAAGGTGCTCCAGGCTCTCATCAGCCTCCTTAATGCCAGTTTTTATACTGAACCGTGTCTGCTTCAAGACTGTAAGACCTCAGAGATTTCAGTTTTATAAGTAACAACCAGTAGCCTAAATCCAGGCTTCTGGATGTGTGTGCCTGCCCATACTAACATTTGGAACTGGGTCCAGTTTTACAGTTTTGTGTTGACATGTGGACCCTCATATCGATTCTACAGCTGACACTTCTTGTGTTGGAACAAATTGAAGTTTCTGAGAGAAAGGGGCAAGATATCCTTCACCTCGATGCTCTTAATTAGTTGGGCCATTAAACCACTGTGACGTGCTGTATAAATCTAGATAATAATTTCCAAAAAAGTGATGTAAGATAGAGGAAATGGCAGAATTGAATGCCAAGGAGTTTGTAAAGCTGTGACAGCAAAGGCAAGTGTGGAGTTGCAAAAATAATAACTGGGTAACATTCAGTCTGAATATCCTAACACTGCTGATTACTTTCAATATATCCACATTTAGGACCTTTATTTCTGTTTTGGGGTGTAAGAGGATAATTTGTAGCATAACTTACAAGATGCATTGCTGCTAGCACTAATGCCCTTTTTTTTTGATAATACTGCCAAATTTTATGAAAGGTGATCAAAGGCCCTGTGAATTTTTCTCAGCTTTGTTCTGTTGGTCCTTTCTTTAGGGAATCATGAGAATTTCTCTACCCAGTATCTGAGGGTGGCTGTGGGGTAAACTTGGAGATGTAAAGCCAAGGAGATAGCATGTTTGTTACAAAGTAAAAAATCTTGTACCTGTAAGTAGTTAAGCTTCAAATAACAGTAATTTCATAGTTGTGATGTATTGCCAGTTTAGTTTGGGTGGGGACTTAAAATTTAGTGATCTGTGGTCTTGGATTTTCCTGACTTTTAACCCATATTTATAGCCCTTCCACAGAAATTTAAAGAGGGGAAATGCTGGATTCAGTTGGCTTTTGTTGTGTGAGGATTTCAGCTATTCAGGGTACTACACACCTTGCTTGTTCCCTCGAGAAAATTGTGCTCTTCAACAGTCTTACCTCCATCAGCGTGGTTTCAAGTGCAGCACCTGTTTCAAACCCAAATTTTGCCAAACTCCGAGTAAAAACTGACAGCTGGTGTACCCTGGTAACTTCAGGTTTCCTTAAGAGCCCGCAGTAATTTAAAGAAATATTTATCTGGGATGTTATGAGCCACAGGAGGATTGGCTTCAAATCTAGTTCTTCTTAACATAAATTGCTTGAAGTCTGGTCAAAGTGAGCTGCATCATGTCAGTGAGTGTGCAGTTGCAGGCAGTAGCTGTATTTGTGACATTCTTTCCCGATGAACCTGTTGCTTTATTTGGCACAGCCCGGGGTTTGCCTCAGCCTTCGGAAAACGCGTCTGCGAGCTCCTCTCGGCTTTTTTGTAATGCTGTCATTTCCTTCCCCCGCTGCAGGACCTGTGGAAGAGGAAGCATAAAGATTTCCAGATGAATAACCGAAAGGAAGACATGGAGATTGCTTCCCACTACCGTCACCTGCTGCGGGAGCTGAACGAGCAGCGGCAGCACGGCATCCTCTGCGACGTCTGCATCATCGTGGAGGGCAAGATCTTCAAGGCTCACAAAAACGTCCTCCTGGGCAGCAGCCGCTACTTCAAGACTCTCTACTGCCAGGTGCAGAAAACCTCCGACCAGGCCACGGTCACCCACCTGGACATCGTCACCGCGCAGGGCTTCAAGGCGATCATCGACTTCATGTATTCCGCGCACCTGGCGCTCACCAGCCGGAACGTCATCGAGGTGATGTCGGCCGCCAGCTACCTGCAGATGACGGACATCGTGCAGGCCTGCCACAACTTCATCAAGGCGGCCCTGGACATCAGCATAAAGTCTGATGCCTCGGAGGACCTCGTTGATTACGAGCTGGGAGCCCCTTCCAGCAGCAGCACGGACGCGTTGATTTCGGCGGTGGTGGCTGGCAGGAGCATATCTCCGTGGCTGGCCCGGAGAACCAGCCCGGCAAACTCCTCTGGGGACTCAGCTATTGCCAGCTGCCACGAGGGAGGGAGTAGTTACGGAAAGGAGGATCAAGAACCAAAAGCGGACAGCCACGAGGACGTTTCGTCCCAGTCTCTCTGGGCCAGTGACATGGGCTATGGGTCTTTACGTATCAAAGAGGAACAGGTTTCACCCTCGCATTACGGAGGGGGGGAGCTTCATTCTGCCAAGGATAGTGCAATACAGAGCGGGTTCTCAGAGCAAGGCGTGGGGGATGGCTGGCAGCCCACGGGGCGCAGGAAGAACAGGAAAAACAAAGAGACTGTGCGGCACATCACGCAGCAAGTGGAGGACGACAGCAGGGCAAACTCCCCGGTGCTGCCTTTCTCACCTGCCTCGGGATGGCCCTACAGCAGTCGAGACCCAAGTAAGTCGTGCCTCCAGGTTTGGGGGCTGAAATTAAAAGCGTCGAGTTAATTAGATCTGTTTATGGTATGATCTTATCAGTCTCTGAATTACGAGCCTGATGGTAGAAACTTGTGCTGCCAGCAGTTCAGAAGCACCAAGTGCTGCACGGTTCAGTCAGGAGCCTCGGTGTCACAGGCGGGTTCTCCTCTAGAACCAGAAGTTTGGTTTTGTTTTGGGCTTGAACGGCCTAAATCGCCCCCAAAACACCTCTGCGATTGCTGGAATTAGCGAGAGGAAAGGTTGGAATTTATTTTAGCAGGTGTGCAAACTGATGTCAGGGTTGAAGAATTTTCCTTGCACTCTGTGTTGATGATGTAATTACACCACACACAGGTGTAATTTAGTCCTGCCGATACCATCTCCAGAACTTCCTGATGTGCAGGTGTCACTTTCTCTTGGGTAAGAAAACCACCATAGCTCATTGCTGGTAATGGCAGGGTCAGTGTTTGGTAACTCCTAAGAATAATGTGTTTTTTCTGAGGCACCGCTATGGCTTCAGATGTATTTTGATGTGTGACTGCTTGTGGTCTGAGATCAGTGGCTGCTTTTAAAGTGTTTAGCCAGTGAGAAAAATGATTTCTTGACTTCCTTTGAATCTTCAGCAGTTACTTTTCTGTCTCGTGATAACTGCCCTACTTGATTCCTTGATCAGTGGCAATGAATAGATCCCGGAATGCTACTGAACCAGGAGTTCGGTGGTTTTTCCTGAGGACTTTGGGGAAATGTGGGATTAAAGTCTCCCAAGTTGACTTGGAGAACTTAGTCCATGCTGTGAGTTAGCCTGTGTTTCATTGCATACCAGAGCCCAAGTCAGCCAGGGGAAGGGTGTGTGAGATTGTAGACTTTTATGTTGCCAAATTTGGATTAAAAAAGCAATATAAAGAGTACTGAAAGTCGTTAAGAGTCTTTATGGGCAGAAAAAGGAGGTTTAAGGTGCTTACATTCTGGAGCTTAAATGTGGTTTTCATTGAACGGGTAACTCTCTACAAATGTCTTGAGATTTATTATGTTTTACGGTTATCTGCTGCAGCAAGCTTGCATGTAATTATTCTAATTAGCTGATGATAAAATCTAAACAACGTCAGTTAGAAGAAAAATGCAAGATAATTTAAGATAACAGTGATTTATGATGAATCTTGTTTTTATAATGCATGCATTTCAGGCTTGTTTTGAGTTAAGACTCGGCCCGAATTGCCTGGTGTGCTGTTCTCATGCGGCTGTTTTTCATTTTCCATGGCATCCCATAAAAACAACTCAATCACTTGTGCTGTCTGAGGGATGTGGGCTTGGACAGTACCTGGAATGAACCAGGCATGGAGAGAGAGACTGCAGAAACAGAACTGCAGCTCTGATCCTCCTGGAAAACTGGGGACAGGTTGGACATCTTCACTGAAAATGGTGTGAAAGAGAAGACGCTGTATTACTGGAAGCTGAATGAAGCGTGGATTATTTAACTCCTAATTGTTAAGGAATTAAATTGCAGTGGCTGTTTGCAGATGAGAGGAAGATGGCTCAGGGGCTTGACTCAGCACAGTGCTGAGACAGCACGTCAGCAGGCACATCAAATTAGTTGTTCCAAACCTTGGCTTAAATGCGGCTTCCAATAAAAAAGGTGGTTCCAGTGGTGGGAAGGGGGAAGCTGAGTGGTGGTGGAAGGGGGAAGATGTCAATATTCCACTAGTGCTGGTAAAACAAAAGGAAAAAATGAAGGGCAGCGCTTCTCTGTGTCCAAAACGAACAGGCACGGGGGCTGCTGCTCCAAGAGCGGCGTGTGCCAAGTGTCCCTGAGGAGCAAGGAGGGCATGTGGAGCCTGAGCTCTTGTGTGTTCCCCGTACTGGCCATGTGGAGAGATGAATGGAAGTGAAGTTCTCCTTCCTGCCCTGCTGGAGAGGGAGGTTTCTCTGCACTGTGGGGCCTAAAATTGTGGGAAGGTGCGTGTGGGCTTAACAGCAGGGATTGTCTCTGCAAGCCCTGCGTGCGCCTTGGGTCCAATTGCCTTGTCTCTGGGGGATTTTTTTTTGGTATAATTTCAAAGGATTGGAGATGCAAATGTTCAGTTTCGGTTAACCTTGGACAGCTTGCCAGCAGCCTCTCGTGTGGTAGGCGTGTGGTTTGGGTGAAATCAGTTGGTCACTGAGGTGAGACTGCAGCTCTTTCAGTGAGAAGTGAGAGCTCTCCTGCTGCCCCGAACCAGCCCCGTGTGGGGCCCTGCAAGCAGCAGGGTCTTGTGGTCTCACGCGGTTATTTCCCATATCCAGCCAAGTGGAAGCAACTTTTCCTGCAAACTGCTCTATCTCCCAAGTTCCTGAGCTATGGGGTTCTGCTCAGGTTGAGTTTTGGTGCCCCAGGGTCTTCCCTCTCCTGTTAGAATTCAGCAGTAGTGTAGGGGTGTTGCAAACTTGACTCCTAAACGTGAAGGAATAATTGATTTTCCTTGTGTGCAAATGGATAATGACACAGCGCAGACACTTCCAACAAGTAATTGGGATGTGTTTAAATTTCAGCTTGAAGTTGTCTTTGATTTAGTCGTGTCAGGTTTCATTCTTTAAAACACACTTCATAGTCTAGGGCTCTTTTTCACCTCATTTATTTAGAAGTGTCCCATTGTTCACAGCTGTGATGAAAAGCTACTCATTTGCTAGAGGAAATGGGTGTTGAATGTTCTTTCATAAGTAACTAAGAGGAAAGAAAGTTACCTAGAACTCTTTGTTCTTTGAGGCTCCTTCACTTTTCTGATCTAATCAGTTATTTTAAGATGCTGGTTGCTAAGGCTGAAAGCCCTCATTGTGGGATAATTTGGGTACTGTTTGTGAATGCCTCTGTGCTGGAGGACTAACACAGATCTTGTGGCAATGCAAAAATCGATTTAGGAGGATCCATCTTCAAAGTTCAGTCCTCGCAAATTTGAGCAAGGTTCTCATTTGGTCCAGGAGAATTTTGGAAGGAGAATCTTGCAAGTAACTATTGCATCACCCTTTGGTTATTTGGGGCCAGTACACTTCACAGACTGAAAGTGCTGCTCCTAGTCCTGTATTATACAGGATTGTTTCGTTCCAGTTGTATTACAAAGAAGCACATTGCAGTCATTGAAACTGCTTTTCAAGCAACTCACAGCTCATTCACACTCAGCAGCGGTGCTTCTTTCAGTGGGAAACACGTCCTTGTCAATGCAGGCAGGTGTACTAAAGTGTCTCAAATATTTAAGCAGACTGTATTTAGTTACTAATCAATGAGGTCTGAAAAAGACAAAGATTGGGTTTTTTTAAATTGAAAGGGTAAAAAAAATTCTTTGTGAATCAGTTGATTCTTTCCCGGGTGCTGCTGAGAGTCTTTAAATTTGACAACGTTACAGATTAAAATGAAAAGGAGTGTCTGGAGTAATCGTATTAATGGTAATCAAACATCGTGGAAATAGCAAGAGATTGTTCATGTCTGCCATGAAGAGTCTTCTTCATCCAAGAAAGGATGATCAAATAGGATTTGCAAAAGAATGCAAAGGAAGTTGAGGTGCTGGATTGAGAGTGTGACTCAGCTCACAGTTTCCCAGGGTGTTGTCAGTCAAGCACAAAGCTTCATGAGGACCATTTTTTCATGGTAAATTCAATTTATTAGTTTGGATTGTCTGCTTAGCATCAAACACATTAGGTTTTCTCTTTCTTATCCTGTTTGAGTTGTTCAGGGTGTCAGCCTGTCATTCCTTGTATGAAACATTCATATATATGTTTTCCTCACCAAGCCACATTAGCTTGGAAAGGCAATTCTCCAAAGTAAACTGGCTTTTATAAATAATAACTTTTTTCACAGATGAGCCAAGAAGAATTTCCTCCACAGACTTGCTAAAAGGGCAGGTCTGCCTTTTATTTTATCCCTTTTGAATTTCATAGGTTTTCTGAAAAAACATACTGCTCTTTGTTAGTCTTCATATCAAAGGTGCTTATGAAATTCAAAAGTAGTCTTGTGCCATGAACATCTTCATTTTCCTTAGGCTACAATTCCTTTAACACTGCTGGATAACGTTTTTGAAGGTTTACATATCACAAGTCCATGGACTAGAGGATCAGGTGGTGTTTGGAAGGCTCTTGCCAAAGAGGACAATTACCTTCAGGATGAGAGCTGTTAGGGTAGCAAAATGTTGCTGGATTTGCTTCTTCGTGTAGTGGAAAACTCTTGTCACTTGGAGGGTGTCTTTTGAAGAATTTATTGATGGCTTTATTAATGTGTTAGCTCAAGCATAGTAATTATGATTCAGGAATTTATTTCTGAGGAAATAACTCCCACGCATCTTCTGATTGTTTGCACCCAAAAGCTGCGAGTGGATTTCTGTGTGCCAATTGACTGTGAAATGAAGCTAATTATTTTAAAACCAGAAAAGTCCTTTTTAAATACTCTGCACATTGGGAACTCTTTGCTTTCCTTTGGTTACATATTTCTGTATTCTGTAAGAAGAGCTTCAGGACTTGATTAAGCCCCGAGCAGCGACCTCCACGGCAAGGACGGGCAGGACTCCACTGTATCCTCCTGACTTTGCAGAGTTCACAGTCCCCTTTAACATTTTTCCCCTCTCAAAAAATCTTTAATTATGCACAAGTTTCCTCCCTCCTGGTGAGGAGACATTCGAGTTCCTCCTTTTCCAATGACACACACGTGATGGCAGTGCCTGCTGCAGGGAGCTGTGCTGGCAGCTCCCCGGGAAGCCTGGAGACAGCTGCTGTCCTCAGCCTTTCCCCATCCCTTTTGCTGTCTTGGCTTCCAGAGAGCAAATCATGATTACAGGAGCTGCTGGTGAGCACAGATGCTTAACAGTGGCATCATAGAGTGGGCTTACACTGCAGAAGGCTTCAGAGGGAGGCAAGAGAGCCCGTTCTAGATGAACTCTCAGCTGTTTTGTGCAAGTGAGGTATCTCGACCTGTCTGAGTGCAGGCAGGTGAATGATTTTATTCTTGAAAAAAAAAAAGTC